GGGAGACACAGAATCCAAAGCAGGCTCCATGCTTTGAACTGTCAGCATAGAGCCCAATGCGGGGCTTGAACTCAAGAGTCTTGAGATCATGACCTGAGCCAAAGTCGGGTGCCTAACCAACTGAACCAGGCACCCCCAGAAAATTTTAGTTTTAATGAAGTCCAGTTTATCAGTTATTTCTTTTATGAATCATGTCTTTGGTGTTCTATCTAAAAAGTCATTGCCAAACCCAAGATCATTTAGATTTTCTCCTATGTTATCTTTGTACTTTACATTTAGGTTTCTGGTCCATTTTAAGTTAATATTTGTAAAGGATGTAAAGTCCTGATGCTTCTTTTTTGCATGTGGATATACAGTTGTTTCAATACCATTTATTGAAAAATCTGTCATTTCTCCATTGTGTTATCTTTGCTCCTTTTTCAAAGATCAGTTATCAAACTCAACACCCAAAAAACAAATAATCCAGTGAAGAAATGGGGGAAAGACATGAATAGACACTTCTCCAAAGAAGACATGCAGATGGCCAAATGACACATGAAAAAATGTCACTCATCACTCATCAGGGAAATACAAATCAAAACCACAATGAGATACCACCTTACACCTGTCAGAATGGCTAACATTAACAACTCAGGCAACAACAGATGTTGGTGAGGATGTGGAGAATGAGGATCTCTTTTGCATTGTTGGTGGCAATGCAAGCTGGTGCAGCCACTCTGGAAAACAGTATGGAGGTTCCTCAGAAAACTAAAAATAAAACTACCCTATGACCCAGCAATTGCACTACTAGGCGTTTATCCACAGGATACAGGTGTGTTGTTTCAAAGGGACACATTGCACCCCCATGTTTATAGCAGCGCTATCAACAATAGCCAAAGTATGGAAAGAACACAAATGTCCATCCATGGATGAATGGATAAAGAAGAGGTGGTATAGATATACAATGAAGTATTACTCGGCAATCAAAAAGAATGAAATCTTGCCATTTGCAACTACGTCGATGGAACTGGAGGGTATTATGCCAAGTGAAATTAGTCAGAGAAAGACAAAAATCATATGACTTCATTCATCTGAGGACTTTAAGATACAAAACAGATGACCATAAGGGAAGGGAAACAAAAATAATATAAAAACAGGGAGGGGGACAAAACAGAAGAGACTCATAAATATGGAGAACAAACTGAGGGGTGCTGGAGGGGTTGTGGGAGGGGGGATGGGCTAAATGGGTAAGGGGCATTACTGAAATCATTGTTTCACTATATGCTAACTAATTTGGATGTAAATTTTAAAAAATAAAAAATAAAATGAAAAAAAAATCAGTTGACTAGTAGGTTTATTTCCGGGCTCTCTGTTCTGTTCCATTATCTATTAGTCTTTTCTTTCACCATTCTTTCTACCACATTATCTTGATTACTGTAGCTTTACAGTAAGTCTTGAAGTTAGGTAGTGTCAATCTTATGACTTTGTTTTTCTCTTTCAATATTAGGTTGGCTAGTCTGGGTCCTTTGCCTCTCTACATTACCTTTAGCATCAGTTTGTATCCATAAAATATTTCTGGTATTTTAATTGGGATTACATTTAATCCATTGAATCTATACATCAAATTAGGAATAACTGACATGCTGTTCATATTGATTCTTCCTATTCATAAACATGGAATACTTTTTCATTTGTCTAGTTATTCTTTCATTTCTTCATCAGTTTTGTAGTTTCCTTCATATAGATCTTGTACATTTTTGTTAGACTTATATTTAATTTTTTCATTTTGGAGGCATGCTAATGTAAGTGGCATTATGTTTTTAATTTCAAATGACACTTGCTTATTGCTGTTGTATAGGAAAATAATTGACATTTGTACATATCCTTGTATCCTGCAACCCTGCTATAATTGCTTATTAGTTCCAGGAGTTTTGTTATTCATTCTTTCAGATTTTCTACACAATCATGTCATCTGCAAACAAAGATAGTTTTATTTCTTTCTTTCCAATCAGCAAGTTTTATTTCCTTTTCTTATATTACTGTATTTATTAGGACTTCCAGTATTATGTCATAAAGGAGTGGTGAGAGGGGACATCCTTGCTTTGCTCCTGATCTTAGTGGGAAAGCTTCTTCCCATCAGGTATGGTGTTAGCTGTAGGTTTTTTGTAGATCTTGTTTATCAAGTTATGGAAACTCCTCTGTATTCCTAGTTTGCTGAGAGTTATCATGAATAGGTATTGGATTTTGTTAAATGCTCTTTCTGCATTTACTGATATGAACATGTGATCTTTTTCTTTAGCTTGTTGGTATGAGGGATTATGTTATGTTACATTGGTTTTCAAATGTGGAACCAGTCTTGCATATTTGGGATAAACCAGTTGGTTGTATATATAATTATTTTTATACATTTGATTTAATTTGCTAATATTTTGATAATTTTGGCATTTATGTTAATGAGAAATATTGGTCAGCAGTTTTCTTTTCTTGCAATGTCCTTGTCTGATTTTGGTATTAGGGTAATGCTGTCCTCATGGAATGAATAGCATGTATTCCCTCTGCTTCTGCCTTCTGGAAGAGATTGTAAAGAATTGGTATAATCTCTTAAGTGTTTGGAGGAATTCATCAGTAAACTCATCTGGGCCTGGTGCTTTATGTTTTTGAAGTTTAGTAATTATTAAGTTAATTTCTTTAATAGATATTAGGCCTATCCTGGTTGTTTATTTTTTTGTGTGAATTTTGGTACCTTCTGTGTTTTGAGGAATTGGTTCATTTCATCTAGGTTATAACATCTGTGGGTGAGTTGTTCATACTAGTCCTTTAATATCTTTTTAATGTCCACAGTATCTGTAGTGATGTCCTTTCAATTCTGATATTAGTAACTTGTGTCTTCTCTCTTTTTCTTTAGACTGGCTAGAAGTTAATCAATTTTATCTTTTAAATGAATCAGCTTTTGTCTTCATTGTTTTTCTCTGTTGGCTTCCTGTTTTCAATTTCATTGATTTCTGTCCTAATTACTTCTTTTCTTCTGCTTACTTTAGATTTATTCTTCCTTTTCTAGTTTTCTAAGGTAGAATCTTAGATTACTGATTTTAGAGCTTTCCTCTTTTCTAATATATTCATAAAAGGCTACAAAATTCCCTCTAAACACTTTCACTGCATCCCCTGATTTTGCTAAGTTGTATTTTCATTTAGTTCAAAAATTTTTTAAATTTCTATTGAGAGATCTTCTTTTTTTAAATTTACATCCAAGTTAGTTAGCTTATAGTGCAACAATGATTTCAGGAGTAGATTCCTTAATGCCCCTTACCCATTTAGCCCATCCCCCCTCCCACAACCCCTCCAATAACCCTGTTTGTTCTCTATATTTAAGAGTCTCTTGTGTTTTGTCCCCCTCCCTGTTTTTATATTATTTTTTCTTCCCTGCCCTGTGTTCTTCTGTTCTGTGTCTTAAAGTCCTCATATGAGTGAAGTTATATGATATATGTCTTTC